ACGCCGTTACATGTAACTAGTTACTCCCCAACACTGGTCATGCGTTACCATGGCACTCTGTTGCCGTGGGGACAGTTGAACCCATACCTTCAGGATCCATACTGTCATATTTTATAATACTTTTATAGTGTGTGTAGAGTAGAGGTTGAGGATGTTAGGCAGAATATGCAAATAAGCAAAAATGCAGCGAAAAATGAGGCTCTGAAACCAAACACAAAATTTCAAGAGTTCCACCAAAAATGAAAAATGTGTCATTTACTCACCGTCATGTCAATCCAAACCTGCATGATTTAGTTTCTACTGGACAACACAAAAGATGATATTTTGAACAATGTTGAATTTTTTTCCCCCCATAAAATTAAAGTCAGTGGGATCCAAAACAACATTTAGACCCTACAACATTTCACTGTATAGGCAAAAAACACAGACTATTCAAAATATCTACTTTTGTTTTCAACAGAACAAAGAAATTAATACAGGTTTGGAATGGATGTTGGTGAGCAAATGATGCCAGGAGCTTCATTTTGGGTGAACTTTAAGTAAACAAGTGACTCTTGGGAATGTTTTTCCTTCATTTACACACATTTACAACAGTTCTGTTGAACACAGTCCAGCGAAAATAGTTTTGGGTAAATGTGAGCCATATGGATAAATGTGACTAATAACTTAATTTCGTTTCATTCGTCTCCTGCAGAGCCGCTCAGCTATACACCTCGCTAACTCAGCTCTCCAGGAGCTCATCTTCCTCTGCCCAGACACCCACCACCCTCCTGGGCACAGAGAGACACTTTGGGTCCAGGTCTCCTGCTGAGGCCTCAACTTAGTGGCCATTAGAGATTCGTGATTAATGGCGCTGTATGGTTCCGTTGCTATGACGACTCAAGTGAGAATGATAATCTAATGCGATTTCTGTGAAGCAGCTGATTGAAAGTTTGAAAATGAGAAAGTGTTTGTATTGGAAGGCAGTCTGATAACAAATTAACAACTTTAAAGAAATGTATCTATTTTTTAATCTTTGAGAAGCGTATGCTGGTTTTGTTCTGTTGTGTCACAAATCTGTTCCTGCTGTTTTAAATTGTTTTCATCACCATGGCAACCAAAATGCAATAGATGGGATTTTTTGCCCGTCATTTTCTCACACCACAGATGGCCTAAACATATCAGATGTTGCTGTACGAAACATGCTGAAAGTTATTGCAGAAACATGGTTGTGTTGTTGCGAAGTGCATCTCAAGTGCAAAATTACAGTATACTGCAAGTCAGCCTAGTCTACACACTTGGTCTAAACAAGTTGAAACAGATGCAGATGGCAGCACAGAATAAAGCCATGCAAACATCTGTGTTGCAAACCCCTCCATAGTGCTGTTGTTTTATTTTTTGCAAGATATTTCTGGAAAACAAATCTAATCAGTTGCATTATACAGTGTGGAGTCAGTCATTTAGATCAGATTCCAGTTGGATACACAAATAATCAGAATTGGACTGGCAGTGTGAATGAAGCTGAAGGTCATAGAATGTATTAATTAGTGCTTTTAAAAACTTTTAAACTTTAAAACTCAGTTTTTAAACTAACCCAGTATAGCGATGACCTCGTCATCCTGGATGACCTCCAGTGACCCTGACACCACGAAGCAGAGCAGGTCCACGCTTTCACCCGCATGGAAGATGAGGTCACCGGGGGCGGAGTGTATCATCTGGAACTCCACGGCCAATGAGCGCAAACATCCGTCACTGGCCAATCGGAATGCTGGGTGCTCGTTGAACACCTTCGTGTTCAGGTGCACGCAGATGTCTGCCCGCATGTCCTTGGGGCAGATGGAGAGCACCTGAGCACAGATGAATTTCCAATTCAGTATTTTCCACGGATAATATCAAAAACTTCAGTCATGTAACCATCCCATCTGTTTCAGTCTCACCTTCTCTGTGTCGATGCCTTTGGACATGGACCATGTGGAGACGATGTAGTCCATCACTCTCTCACTGAGGCCTTTGGGCACCTGGTAGAGCTTGAGGAAATCCCGCACGTTATTCAGCATTTCGTGGTAACGGTTGGTGTTTGCATACATCTGCTGGAAAATGGTTGTCACATTACCGAAGATAGTCGCGTAAAGGAGAGCTTTAGGACATGAGGAGAGAAAAAAATTGTCATGTCAGACAGATTTGAAATAAGAAAAACTAACTCTAGTTAAGTTGTTACAATATTACACAATAGTGTTCACTTTTGAGAGTCTGAATATGTGGCTGACTTAAGTACTTAAAATTTAATTATTAATTAATTAATTACAAAAATAAAACAATTGCATAAATGTACTTTTAGTATTTCTTTTTATTATTTTTTTAAATTTGCAAATATAGCTTAGAACAAAGTACATGTGTACTTGAACAAAGAACATTTATTTTTAAACAAACTGTAAAAAATTACCAACATATTCTGTATCAATTGTAATACATAGTAATTGTTGTTTTAAAATTTCATAATATACACTTTCACAAAGCTAGATCTTGATTTAAATCATTTCTTTTAATTTCTAAAATGTATATTTCGAAATGTCACTTTTATATGACATTTATATTTTCAAACCCATATTTACCCAAAGAGCTTGTAATAATGAAAGTCACCGGATGTCATTTGGAACATTATTTTATGAACAGAATATTATTTCAATGCAGTACTAGAACAAGTACAAGCAAAAATGGTTGTTTTTCCATTTTTCTAGTACTTGAATATTAAATTTTACAGTGGGATGTCTTATATACATACATATATATATATATATATATATATAAATGGAAGAAGAGTACATATACAATGTAAACTTCTGGTACTGTGTTTATTGCCTTTCTCATGAGTTACCACGGTATCTTTGCTCCTCGTCTCTATGGCAACCTTCCCTGAAATAGCTTTCCAAATACTTCTGCTCACAACCAATAAGGGAA